CTGTGAGAGACGCTCTCAGAGACTCTGAGAGACTACAGAGAGGCTGAAAATTTTTGTCTAGGGTAATAGTTAAAAAATTGTGCTACAAAAATCGTCGACTTCTTTTAGACAATAAGGATTCATATTAAAACGTGCAATACCTGTGTTAAATCGTATACCTTTCTTATAAATGATTAATAAGAAATATTCCTGTAATTGTTTAGAATAGGTATATATCTAGGTATGCATAATATTTTTTAATTTTCCAATCGACAAAATATAAACAATATCGATCAATTTTTGTAAACTGTATCAGAATCAATAATGTTGTAAACCTAAAAATACTTAAATGGAGCCAGAGTTAGGTACTTTTCTTGAATAAAGTATATTTGTGGATACGTTCAGGAATTATACCCAATTTTGACAAATTGATAAAGGCTTTCGCTGGCAGTAGGGGAACTGATGATGTTCTGATTGGGGTCTAAGCTTGGATATTGTAGCCGATGTGATAACGTATATATTTGAAACTTAAAGAAACGTTTATTAAAATGAAACCGGAAAAGAAGAACTAAGAGGAGTTTACTTTATTAGCGCTTTTGATAAATTAAAAAAAAAAGAACAAGAATATAAAGAATCGGAAATATAAGAGCGATCCTTACAACAGCAATCGATTGATAAAAGAATTTCTATACATCTTTCCAAGATTTACGTCGCAATTTCGTCATTCCTTTTGCTCTCAGTTTTGTTGTTTTAAATTGTAATGATGACAATAGCGTTAGTGTAATGTTTTGCTTTTTAAGAAAGAATTATTAGGTAATAATTGTTTAAAATGTTGTCAAGGTATAAAAGCACATACATATAGGTTTAAATAGGAAGCAGAGACAAAAAAACGATAAAAATAATGCAGTGTCTGGGACAGGAAGGTTTACACCTCCAATGGGAGAAGCTGATTTTAAACGCCATCAAGCCTGCCTGCTCTAATAAAAGACATGAAATTCACTTAAAATTCCAAAGAATATATAAAGTTTGTATAACGATGCATAAACAGATTTTTTGTGCATTTTATTGCCATTTTACGATGATTTTTCAGTCTTTAAGTGTATCTTAAGCTTATTTATTACCAGTCTAATAGAACCAAGTATCTATATACTGCTTCGAATGAGCCTATAAATAGATTATTACCAGCTCTCCTTATTTTGATTTATACTTTCATCGGTAAAAGGGATTATTCCAGCCTGTTAGCGCCGTTTATGTCCCATAATGTCAGGAAATTCGATGCTGGACAAACAACCTAAGACCACTTTTACTATACCCATTAACTACTTAATTCCTTTCAGGGAAATGCGATAACAATTCATACAATCAACAAATTCAACTAATAAAAAAAATGTATTCTGTACTTACTTCTAAATCTGTAGCCGATAATCTTTAAACAATAATTGTTTAATGTTTACAACAAATTATTAAAAATGACCATCCTATTATAGAAAATGTTCTGTGACAACAATTTGTGTCAGTTATTTTTAAGCATAAATATCTATATTTTATCAATTTTTTAAGCACTTATCAGTAAGTTTCTTTCGCAATTATTAACCGCTTTACCGCGAAGATTATTATTATCTAACTTATTATCTTTAGAATGTGCTTCCAAAAAATCTAAAACGTTCTTAATCTTGCTTTTAGAATTAACCTCAAATAAAGAAACAAACGTATGTATTAGACATACCACTACGTGATTTAGTACAACATCAGTCTCCTACAATCACTTTATCTTCACATATAACCAATGATAAGTATTTACGCTTGTTAAGTCACACCTTCGCAACGCCTAATAAATAAATAATTACTTAATTGTTTTTATAAAATTCTAGACACACAACACGCATTCACCAACCGTCTACCGCAATGCAATAATGTAAAAACAAACGCAATGTTGTTGCCAACTGATAAATTGCGAACTTGTTTATAATCTGTAAAAGCCAACTTTTCTGTTTATGAGAAAACTAATTGTTTACTTCAGTTCTTAAATCTATTTGTTTAAGTTGGAAACATAATATACATAGGTGCGATTAGTAAATCAATTTTAGATAAACGTCTTATAATATTAAGTAGAAATACACTTAATCATTCTGTTAGTTTTCTTAAGGATGTTAAAAACTAATCGATCATGTCATATTTAAGTCATTAACAGCAGTAAATAGTATACAAAGGTCTGTGAAATTTGGATTATGCGGAGTATAAAAAGTGTAACTGCGCGAAGGCAGCGGTAACTTCGGTAAACTCCCCGTAGTGCGACGATTCACCGCAAAGGCGGACGAGGGCAGCACTTACTAGAACCAAACGCAACCCCCGTTGCGAAGTTAGGGCCAGGAGATTCAAACGACTGTTCAGAGATAACGGACGGCTGTTGACCTGTTCTATTCAAGTACATGTTACCTACATTAGGGAACAAATTAGCTAATGTTTAATAAAATTATAATAGTTTCATCGCATTGATGTCCTACATACGTGTCAATGATCATCAAAAATCCTGACTAGGATCATAAGGAAGAAGTTAAATTTAAATATACGGTAAATCGAAATGAAACGAAAATTTTCTATTCTTCGGGAACAGTATTTTTTGGATAAAAGGTATCGTATCACCCTTTCTGTACCCTTGACAATGCACAAAATTTCATGTTGATCGGTTTAGTAGTTAAGGCGTGAAATAGTAAA